TGATTTTTCTTCGGTAATAATAAACATTTAACAATATCATCATAAACATATTGTTTTATAACACTTTTTGCTCGAAACCTTTCACTGAAAAAATTAATGTTTTCCTAATTCTTTATAATAAAGTAATTCTCCACTTTCCACTTCGACAATTGTTGAATTCGATTGAGACATTTTTGATAAGATTGTATGTAACACGTATCTCTATATTTATACTGATTATCGACATGTCGGTCTTTATTACGATTTTCTCTTTTTTTTTTCATCTACAGTACGTTTACTAAAACACATGTCTATGAATTTATCTCTAGTCAGATTCTAATTTTGCCCGGGCAGAATTAGAATTCCAATTTTGCCTGAAAAAAAAACTGGTCAATATTAGAATTCTGATTTCGCCCGGGCAGAATTAGAATTCCAATTTTGCCTAGGCAAATTCCGAATTCGTCCGAATTCCAATTTTGCCTACAACATATATTTTTTTGTGTGCACTCAATGCATTTGTTGTCTGAAACTAACAACCTCAAAATTTTACCGAATACCCGTTTAAAAGTTGTGCTCATTTTCGTTTCGATCAATTATTCAGATTTTTTTAATGCTTATTTAAGAACAATTCGTCTTCTGTCGAGATTCAAAATCAAAGAATGATTTTTCAATAGGAAAAAAAAAGAAATTTTTTAGCAATTTTCATCTCCATAACACAATAGTAAAGCAAAATAAATTCGACATTTCGCAATCAGCTTCAAAAACTATATGGAGTCAAATATATTTTAGAGAAATTTTTTTCCTGTAAAAAACTGATCTCTGGTGACTGACGGCATAAAACTTTAATAAAATACAGTCATAAGAACTACAAGAAAATTTTTCACTGCAAAAAAAATTCTCTGAAATGTCCGTGCCGAACACACCATTTTTTAGGGTACTGAACAGTTGTATGACATATATATAAAACTTCGCTTGATACTCTTTGATTCCAAATCTCAATAGGAAATCAATTGTTATCAAATGCACATGACAGTAGTATGCAGTCGGTATTGACTAACCTTTTTGTAAAAAAAAAAAAAAAGAACATCGAATGCTAAAATCTTAGGATTGTTCTCCTAATAATTTTTTACCGAAAAATTCGTTTTGCTGGATCTCCACGTAAACAATATGCATCACCATGTTTACGTTGTGTTCTTAAACTACCATCTCTACCAATTACAAGAATAGCTGTATCATGTGATTTTAACGGAATAACAGCATGATTATTAAGACCACCACCACTAGGAAATCCAGGTACATGTGTTTCATGCCATCTTGTATTAACTACATCAAATACATAGACATCAGATTTTCTTTTTGATCCATCCCATCCACCAATAGTAACAATATATTGACCATTTCCCATAACAATACATTGATGATAAGAAAGTGTAGGAGAATCATCTGTTGTTATTTCTGTCCATGTATTATTTTGAAATTTAAACATTCGATTTGATGGTGAATGATCACCACGTGTTTTAACTCCACCATGAATATAGAAAATATCATCAATAACACAACTACCAAAAAAAGCTACAGATGGACCTTGAGCAATAACTGTTGCTTGTACATGACATGTAGCAGAAGTATCCATTGATAAACGCCGAGAGTTACCTATTACATTATTATTAACACCATTATCAATGGAACTAGTACGACGATTTATTGTATTGGTACTTCTCGTAGATCCAAGGTCATGTGATGCTCGACGATTGGAAGAAGCCATTTGTTGGAAAAAATGAATGAAAATAAAATAAATGGGCATTCTGCTTCAAATCGCTTAGTTACAAGCTTCTTTTTCTTATTTTCAAGCGACAGATGGTGCTATCAGATATAGTAAAAATTGTTGCATATAATCATTAATTTAAGTTCATACTTCGAACAAATATTAGTATTTTAAAAAGTATAGGCTCATATTCAAAAATTGTACTACTATTTTCTTGCTTTGCCAACTCGTTTCAGTCATGATTTACCTAGTAGATGCTTCAGTATTTGTACAATAGCAAGATATACATCTGACAGTCTCTACCAGCTTCATTAATATATATGTCGCATATAGCGACGTCTTTATTGAGTGATGGTAATTGTAAAAAAGACTAGTTAAAAGCTGTATACAATCTAGAAATTTGAAATCTTACAGCTATTGAGGTGAAATTCAAGGCATTCTAGAACAAGAGAGATTTACAACACTGGAACACACAACTCCACTGAAGAAATTAGTAGATTTCACTTGATTTCCAAGATTTGATCTTCGAGTATAATATCTCAAATCTTAATGTTCATAAATAAAATTGATCTTTTGATAATTTGCAAAATTTGTTACATATGACTTTCTTTGAATGAAAGCACATTTATAGATAATAAAGTACAGACAGACAAACCATCGAAAAAAAAAAATAACAACAACAAACAACATTGACTAAAAATACTTTTCAATTTGATTTCATCAAAAAGCAGTAGTTCCATTCCATCCATTAAGAAAATACTGTTGACTATCGACAATAACTGATGTATGATGATATGGATGTTCTGTTTGATAATTCGTTGATACATAACAATTATTTGTTGATGATGAATATAAATCAAGTTTTTCAGACGGAAGATTTGTTTCATAATCAATTAAAGATAAATGATGATGATGATGATCATTATCAAGACGAATTCGTTTATTATTAATATCATATGATGATATACGTTTTTGATCATAATACATGGATTCATCGAGATTATTAAATGGATTTGAATGATTATTAGTACCTGTTGTATAAAGAGAAAAATTTGGATAATTTGTTTGTGTATTATGAGTATAATAATGTTCATCAGTATTATAACATATTGTTGATGGATAATCATCAATTATTGCTGCACGTAAATCAGTTCTTATTGGAGATAATTTACGTTGTTTTATTAAACGATTTGTTTTAAGTATTTTTGAAGAACTACGATTTGATGATGATGATGATGATGCTGTAGTATTTAAACTTGTATTTGTTGATGAACATTTTTCATTATCAATTGAATTAACTATTAATGTTTGATTTGAACGAATATAATCCGATGATGAATTTTCAAGTTGATCGATTGATAATTGTAAATGTTTAGCTTCAACATCACTAATAAGAAGAAAATTTCAAAAAAAAAGAGATTAAAGAAAAAATACAATCAAATTTATACCTTAGTGCATAATTTACACTAACAATAACTTCAGGTCGAGATGATCGATTATTATGAACAAGTGTTGCATAACTTTGCACTAAAATTAATCATAGAAAGATTTTGATGTAAAAAAAAACAAAGTACTTACTCCATATCCAACCACCATTTTTAGCAAGAAAACGATAATAACGAGTTGTCACTTGTCCTTTTGAAAGTACTTAAACACGAAAATAGATATTTAAATCTTTAAAAACATTCATCAAAATTCTTTAATTCGAATTCTTTTTACTATTTTGTATGATATTTTTTAATGATAGATATACACATCGAGTATGTTTCGTTTATTTCTGAAGTTTAACCCTTTGAGTCCTGAATTTTTTCTATCCAACCTAATTTGATGAAACCACTAGGAATGATAGAGCTAGGTGTGCTAATGAAGTTCCACTATAGGACAGATTTTGTTAATCCCATATTT